TGTGCATGTGTATGCGTGTATGTATGTATGCGTGTGAATGTGTGCGTGCGTGTGTGTGTGTGTGTGTGCATGTGTGTGCATGTGTGAATGTGCAAGTGTGTGCATATGAGCATGTGTGGTTGTTTAGAATGGATCGTCTCATCGCATTCTCAATATATGTGCAAACAAACCACCAACGAGAGCATAATATCAGCTCAAAATCGATGCGCAGCACACGGGCGTACCTGACGCGGGTGTTTGGGATTGAGTAGCGTTGGAATGCGTCTTGGGTGGAGGCAACGGTGACTGTGGTCGAGTGCAGCGTCAGCCGACACTCGAGCGTCGTGCACTCCTGCAGCTGCTCGCCACACACGACAAGTAGTGGTCAGGCGTACATGTGTGTGTGTGTGTGAACTAAAATAAGCTTTCTCGCGCGCAGTGTGTATGTGTGTATAAGATCCTTTCGCTACCTCCCCAAAAAAACTCAAATCTTTCCCCACCACGAACACTACCACCACCACCACCACCACACCACGAAGCCCAACACTGCATGCCAGAGCACTGCGTGTACCACTGCGGCGAGGGCGACGGCGCGTGCGTTTGCCTCCGTGATGTGCGGGTGTGTCACTGCACCAACCAGCGTGGCAAGAAACTCATTTGGCATCGTCGTCTGCAAAACCCATCGCAGCGTGACCAGAGATGGAGTGCGTGATGTGATGGCAGGAGCAGATGAGTGAGAGGCGGTGATCATCATCGTGATCGTGATCGTGATCGTGATCGCATGATGGTGTGCAGGGCGAGTGATGTACGAGTGTTGAACTGACGCCTGATCAAATACGCTTAATGAACACAGCTACACACGGGTACATACAAACACTAACTCGCCCCTTCAACCCCTTCCCTCCAAACATCCCATTCTCTCAAACACACACCAAGCCTTCCTCCCCCCCCTCTCTCTCTCCCCCTCCCCCAAACTTCAACTCCGACTCAACTCACCGTGGGAGGGAGAGCGACACCAAAGTGGCCCTCCTGCTGTGCCCGCGCCAACAGCTGACACGCCGCCCACGCCCGCTTTGCCAGCCGAAACACAAGCACAGACACAACCTGCATGTGCCACTGCGCGTGTGCAGATGCGTGGTGGTATCTGCTGCCGCCACCACGCCCCACGTCACAAGCATGCACGTCTGGTGTGATCATCACACACAGGTCCTTCTTGTTTGAGGGCGACAGGTGCCAGAACTTAATGGCGTGCAGCGGTATTTGTGCATCGAATCGCCGCTGCAGTGGGCAGGACACGCGAATGCCCTGCGTGTACACGCCGACAAACGCAGCAGCATCCGCCTCCTGCGTGTTGAACGTCTGCGCCCGTGCCGTGCTCAACGCAAAGCTGTCATCCAACTCACCACCACCACCACCACCACCACCACCACCACCACCACCACCACCATCTTCGTCAGGCCGACTGCTGGAAGTGCGTGCGCGGCGTCGCTTGCGGTATCTGCTGGGCTGCTGGTACGACGTGCCGCGCTCAAACACAAAGTGCGATGCCGGTTTCCCCAGCTGGTGGCGGCTGGTGGCGGCGGTGGACGGTTGTGATAGCGACGACAACGACGATGATGTTGATGGTATGTGCAGTGAGGGCGGGATTGGCAAGGGTGGGCCTCCAAAACCATCACCGCCATCGAAGTCGTAATCGTCATTGTAGCCTGCGTCGCCAGCACTGCCATCCGTGCTGTTGGTGTTGGTGTTGGTGTTGTTGTTGTTGCTGCTGCTGCTGCTGGTGTTGCGCTTGTTGCGTTGCGATGCTGCATATGATGCAAGCGTGAATGTTCTGGGCACGCCCTTGGTTCCGTTCGTGATGCACATGTGGGCAACATGGCCCAGATGCGGCGAGGGCACGGCGCGCGCGTGCACAACACCAAGCAGCACCGCCTCGAAGCTGCCCAGCATGGCGCCACCAACAGATACACTCGGCAGATGCGCAGGAATCAAACTCACGCGCGCCGGTCGTTTGCCTCCAGTGAGGTGCTGCTGCTCTGGGGCAGCAAGATGGCTGCTGCCGTCACTGTTGTTGTTGTTGTTGGTGTTGTTGTTGTCGTTGTTGTTGTTGTTGGTGTTGGTGGTGGTGGTGGTGTTGCTTTTTTTGTCGTGAATGGCTTGAGTGCTATCCCGGTCGTTTGCCATGTGCAAACCGTCGCGATGTGTCTGGCCCGCCCAACCTGCACGATCCACGCATGCTGCAGACGACGCGTGTGTGGAATCTGCGGTAACGGCATCATCACCATCGCCACCATCGCCATCACCACACGCTTTGAGCCCCTGTTCAATGTCGTGGTCGCTCACGCGCACGTGCGGCTGGGTCGTGGCTGTTCGGTGTGTTGTTGCTGCTGCTGCTGCTGCTGCTGCTGTGATTGCCTCTACATCAACAGTGCTGGGCCGGCTGTCTCGACGCTGTGCATCTGCAACGCGGCTCTGATCCGTGTACGGCACTGACGACGAAAACGATGCGTGCATGCATGTGGGGGTGGACGCGGTGTTGGATGCCACGCTCGCGACGCTCGTGCGCGCGCTGCTGCTGCTGTTAGCGCTGCCATCATCGTTCGAACCTCCATTGTCGCCGTGTCGCCCCCCGTTCTGCTGCTCCTGCCGCCCCTCCTGGCCGGGCCGCGTCTTGGTGGCTGCGCTGCTGCCCGGTGATGTTGGCGGCGGTGTCGGCATGGCACCGTCCACACCCACGATCGCGTTGGTCGTCGTGTCGTGGTGATGGTGATTGCCGTTGGGGGCGGTACCACTGCCATCGCGTGGATCCAACACGATGCTGTTGGAGCTGGCTGTGCTGGTGCTGCTGCGGTCGCTGCGCTGCTTGCGCTGCTGCTGCTCGTCGTCGTCGTGTACGGGCACCTCCATCCACGCCGCCGTTGCTGTGTGCTTGTACGGCGGGCCCGAGGCCTCGAGTACCGGGTACCTGTCCCCGGCGGCCATGCTGCTGCCCATGCTGCTGACGGAGTGTGGCGGTGTGGGCTGGTCCATGTGCGCGGCGTTCTGGCGCGTAGCGTTGATGACATAAGTCTCGACGGCCTGTGCAATGGCCTTGTTTGGGAACACGATGAGATGGCTTTGCGAGATGGGCCGTTCTGGCGTTCCTCCGTAGTACAGCAGGCTACGCACGCCAAACACGTGGATGCTGGTGGTGCCCTGCAACGGAACAAAGTCAATGGGTGTTCGATGCGCCTCGTTCTTGATGATGATCTGCGTTGGTGTCATCTGCAGCTGCGCCTGTACACATTGTTATGGGTTGTTGTCGTCGTTGTCGTTGTTTGTTGTTGTTGTTGTTGTTGTTGTTGTTGTTGTTGTTGTTGTTGTTGTTGTTGTTGTTGTTGTTGTTGTTGTTGTTGTTGTTGTTGTTGTTGTTGTGTGAAGGGTGGGTCAGCGAACACGCGCATGTAAGCGATGCCACACACACACACACACACACACACACACACACACACACATGCACACACATGCACACACACACACATACATACATACACACACACGCATACACACACATGCACACACACACACGCAGACCTTGATGACTGTGCGCTGTCTGTGTTTGATTTCACGGTCCAGCAGGTGCTTTGCCTTCATCTCAACGCCACTGGCGTTAACGACAGATAAACTGCGTGGGCGAGGGGCATCGTCGGAGGCGCCAGATGAAGCGGCGCGTGACCGGCGCGCACGTCGCGCAGGAGACGCCGATGCACTTGCTGGCTGGCTACCGAGGCCACTGGCGCCACTGCTGGACGCAGCAGACGTGGCAGAGGTCGTGGTGGGCACGTGGAAATCGTCCAAGCTCCCAAAGTAGAAAGCGGGTGCCACGGTCACTGTCGTCCCGTCTGCCTGCACCCGCTGTTCCAGGGTGGACTGCCGCTGGCCCATCACTTGCTGTTGTCAGTCACTTGCTTGTTGTCACTTGCTTGTTGTTACTTGCGACTCTGCGCTCCTGTCAGGGCTGCTCTTTGTGGTTTGTTGGTTGGTTGGTTGGTTGGTTGGACGGATGACACGAGAAAGACACCGCGAGTGCGAGACAGTCAAGCACCTGCTGCCTGCCTGCTGAATGCCTTCTCTGCCCCTTGCTTTGGCTGGTGGGTGCGACACAGCCCGAGTGGTGATGACGCGCACGCTGGGCAGGCAAGACACAACAACACACAACCCTCACCCCAAAACAAAAACAATCGCAGCAGGGCAGTTACAATCCCCGGCATCACAAAATGTAGTCAGCTTTGGCGGGAAACTTTTGAAAAGGAGGTTTGTGTGGGTGTACGCACGGACAGAGTTGTGTGTGCCTGCAAAGGTGTACAGCTGCAGCAAAGGTGGTCTTCTGTTTGCACGCTTGGCGGCTGTGCACAGCCTCCAAAGCCAAGAGCACAGGAGGTTTGTCTTGTTTCCTTCGCTTTTGTTCCAAGCAGGTTGCAATGTAGTGACCTGCTTCGTCGCTTACAATCCTCCCGCCATGCATTTATTCTATGCACACGTCAACCATTCATTCACTCATCGATACAAACACCTTCTCACCTTTTCTCTCTCTCCCTCCCGTGGTCCATGATGTGGCAGCCACCAAGCAGCACTAGTGGCAGCATCGGCGGTGGCAACCATGGCGCAGGCCAGGCACCGGCAACACCGTCTGCTCTTCATCAGCAGCAGCATGGTGTTGGTGGGCTGGGTCAGTTTGGGGCGTTTCAGCCAAACGCCAGTCCAAGTGTGAGAGCAAGCCTCCGGAACCCGCACCAGCGACAGCGCCAGCGAAACTCAAGTGCAGCCTTGCCAACAACGACAACACCAACAACGGCAACACCAACAACAACACCGACGACAATAACAACACCAACAGCAACAGGCCGAACGACCTCGTCGCCGTACGTCCCCATCTCCCTCGACCTTGATTTTGGGGCGTCAACGCCCTCCACTCCAGCGTCGCATGTCAACACCCAGCTGATCCCTCGCACGCCCAGGTCTGCGCCTGAGCCGCCCACAATGTCTGGGCTGCGAACACCGGCGAACGCCTATTCTGCGGCCGCGCATTCAGCCATGACCGCCCCAAGAAGCGCCGCGGCCAGCATTCCCGCCTCTTCCACGCCATTTGTGTCGATACCGTCCTCCCATCCAACGACACCCTCTGTGCAGGCACGACCAAGCAGCCCAAGACAACGACAACAACAACGACAACAGCAGCACCACCACCACCACCACGGTGGCGTACGCGACCAAGCGGCCCACAATACCACCACGGCCACGAACGACCCAGGCACTGTGGCGATCAGTCGACACACATCGTCTGCTCAGTGGATGCACCAGCAACAGCACCAACAACAAGAAGAGCAGCAGCAGCAGCAGCAGCAACAGCAGCAGCAGCAGCAGCAGCAGCAGCAGCAGCAACAACAGCAACAGCAACAACAGCAACAACAGCAACAACAGCAGCAACAACAGCAGCAGCAGCAAGCACACCAGCAACAGCAAGAACACCAGCAGACAGAGTACGGGGACCTCACGATCGTAAACGCCAGTGGTGACAATGACGAGAAGGACCTCAACAACACCAAGACCAACACCATTAGTGGTGATGGCGGTGACGACGACGCGCGCCACGAGGCATTCAGCGCTGCCAACTCCACTACACCCGAGGGCGCTCGCAAACGGAGCAGTGGTACCAACAGTCCATCCCCCTTTGACGGGGCCACCAACGACGAGGCACTCGCAAAGGCTGCTGAAGCGGTGTCCATCAACTCCCAGGTAAGCTGCGCGTGGCGGGGTGTGCGTATGAAGGTGATGTGGTCGCGGTGCTTTGCTGCGGTGGTGTGTCGGCTGTGGTTGCGAAGCGACAGATGTGACTGTGTTTTGTTTTTCTGTTCTGCATGTGTGCGGTGCTTGTTGGTTGTGATTTGCCCTGATTTGCATCCCTTCTCATCATCGACACGCAGCTGCTGGACCAGTATCGCACCGAAACTGTCGCCCTGCGCAAACGCACCCTGCAAACACGCGGTGAGGACGAACATGTTGTCCCAAGTCGGGGCCATTCCGTGTTCGCACGTCGTGCACACTACCTTGTTGTGTGTGTGTGTGTGTCCATATGTTTGCGTGTATGTTTGTACGTGCGCGCTGCATGTAATTGCTTCATCACCACGTGCAATTGACGCGGTCTGTTGTTGTCTTGTCGCTGTGGTGCTGCTGTTCGTGTTGTTTGTAGGCCAAGCAGCCCAGCTCCTCTCCGCATACGTCAAGGTGGCCGTGCGGCTGAAGGAACGTGAGACAGCTATCGCGGAGCTCAGCAAGCAACTGCAACAGGCAAACAAGGACGAGCAAGCTTGTGCCTGAACAAAGACAAGACATGAAAGGCAGGGCTCTTTCACACTGCAATCCTGCAAGTTTCGTCGGTATTTCTACACATCCAAGTGTTGTGCATTGTGTGTGTGTGTGTGTGTGTGCGCGTGTGTGTGCGCGTGTGCGTGTGCGTGTGCGTGTGCGTGAGTGAGCGAGTGTGTGTGTGTGCACCTCTGCGCACAAACTCTGAGCAGTAAACAGCGCAAAGCACGCACGTTGTTGCGACAGTATCCAAATGCTTCTCTCCTGTTGTATTTGGAACAAAGCGAAGAAATGCGGTCTCATTACACACACGCGTGATGGGTTGCGGCCAGATAGAGTAACAAGGTGCCGGAGCAAGCGAAAGGATGTCGTGAAGAGGGTCGTGTAAGACAAGGTGAGCGAACGGTGCTGTGGATTAGGTAACTGTCAACAGAGAACGATAAGCTGGAAGAAGGATAAAGTCAAACAGGGGCACAAAACCAAAAGGACAGCACAATGAAGAGCAGCCCTAGCACACACACACATGCGTGGCATGCGTGCACACAGACACAGACACACACACACACACACACACACACAGACACAGACACAGACACACACACACACACACACACACACACACACACACACACACACACACACGGGTACACTAGAAACACGCGCACGGTTGACGAAGGACGTATGGACAGGAAGTCACATGCTACAGGTTGCTGGTCTCGCTGCACTGGCCGAGGGCACCGGCAAAGACAGCGAGAAGCCGAAGCTGCACAGCCGTCAGCCCGGCAAGCTGGCTGTTCTTGGCCAGGGACCACTGCACGCTAATCGGAACGGGATCCTGCGGCAGCGTGGTCCACAGGTTGCCGTGATACATGGCGTGGACCTCTGGCGAAATTGTTGGCGACGACGGCGCAACAGACGCGTCCTCGTGCTCGTAGCCGTTTTCCGGGCGCAGGGTTGAGGATGACGATGCAGACGACGTAGCAGACGACCGCTTGCTCGCCTCACTCGTGCCGCTCGTGCTGTCGTCAGAGCTGCTCATGTTCTCCACCACAGACATGCGCCGCCCAGCGTACGGCTGGCGTGGCTGCTGAGGCCGCTGCTTGGCTTCAGGCCACATGTCGGCAATGGTCTCGTACACGTGTTCGCCACTGTCGTCCTGGTCCTGGGTGTGTGTCTGCTGCGAAAGATGCTCGCTCGCAACCCCTTCGTCCGAGTGCAAGTGCTCCATAATCAGCTGTTGCATGGTTGGCGACAGCGCGCCCCCACCTGCCCGCGGCAGGCCGCCAACGACGGCTGCGTGCGTCGAGTGCTGTGTTTGAAATTCCCGGCGAAGCTGGTTCACTCCATACACATCCCTGCAGTGAACAGTACGCACGTACAGATGAGCATGAGTGTGAAAGTGGGTGTGAAAGTGTGTGTGAAAGTGGATGTATGTGTGAGTGTGTGTGTGTGTGTGTGGCGTGTTTGTATAACTGTGTGTGGATCTGTGTGAACATCACACAAATTGGTAGCACGGCTGCTTCACCTACCGAGACAGGTTGCCAGTCCACTTTTGGCGAAGATGCACTGCAGATGTAAGAATAGCATGCAACACCACAAGGCGAAGGTGAGCCGGTCATGAAATTGCTATTGGGATCGAGCGTTCGAGTGCAAGAATGACACGCCCAGGTAGATTAGCAAAGATGACAACTACAGAGCATGTATGGTGACAACATATTGTTGTATTGCTTGGTTTTGAAGCATGTGCGCGTGAGCGTGTGGTTGATGCTGGTTGATGCTGCGTGCATCAGACCTTGGCGTTTGTGCGCTGGTTCCGTCTTCTGTCGTGAGCGCAGCACGTCCAGTAGACCACTGACACAGAGAGAGCACAAGCACGCAAGCGCATTCGTGAGCCCCATATTGCTCGCTTGCTTGAAAACACACATCCTCAATCACAACAGTGGCACGCTTGCTGCGAGCGCTTAGTGCGTGACATGGTTCACAGCTCACGCAGCAGCACACCAACAAGCTCCACAAACAAACAACAAAGCAAACGTGAAGGGAGCCGCAACGTGCAACGCACGTATTGTTGTTACTGTTGTTGCTGCTGAGGTTCTGGGCGGAGTGGATCAGGTCGTCGCCAGTCTCTGTCGGATACATGAGCTGCTGCCAGTTGGCGCTGATGAACGACCCCAGCGTCGGCAGGTGCTCAGATTGGACTAACGTACATGTACGTGCGTGTGCGTGTGTGCATATGTGTGCACGTGTGTGTGCATGTGTTTGTAGGGGTGCGGTGTTAGCATATGTGCGAATGGCAAGTATTCAAGCAGGGGAGAGGGTTGCAAAGAGGAAGACGGCAGAGAGGAAGGAATAGTGTGCATCCCTGTATGATGACAGGTGGATATGCTTGCAGGCAACATCAACAACGTCACACTTACGCAAGTGGGACGGCAGCTTCAGCTGCGAGGCGTGCGCTTGGCTCTGGTCAAGTGGCTTCATCTGCACAACAGCGAGAGAGGGAGGACGTTGGTCTGCTTGAGTTCCCAACGACGCGGAACATGCACACGAAACAAGCGCTACCAAGCTCAACCCAGACACATGCAAGCGCGCGTAGAATCATACTTGCTCTTTCCCCTCCTCTGCCATTGCCACTGACCAGATTCTGCTTGTCCTCCATCTTCTTCTCTGCAGCGAGGCGGCGCATGTTGTACTCTTCTTCCTCCTCTTCCATCTGCCGTTTCAGTGCGAGTGTGGACGCCTGCAGCTGCTCCAAATCTGATGTCGAAATTGTGCGCATGCAACCAAAACAGTGGGAGGCACGTGGTGGTGTGCGTGAGACCAAGCAACGGCACACACCCACACCCACACCCACACCACACACAAACAAAACCCACGCGCGGATGTACACCCACCCACACACACACCCACAACCACAACCCCCCCCCACACACACCCCCACACACAAACACACACACAACCCCCCCCCCCCACACACACAAACAAACAAAACCCACGCGCGGATGTACATACCTCTGTCCTCTTCGGTGATTGCGAGCGTGGACTGCTCGTATGTGTGGAGGTCGCGCCGAATGATGTCGAGATCAATGCTCTCGGTATCAAACTCATCTTCGGCAATGGCGAGCGAGCCAACGCCGGCTGTCAGGTCTCGTCGCGACAGCGCTGTTGTTGTTGTTGTTGTTGTTGTTGTTGTTGTTGTTGTTGTTGGTGGCGGCGGTATGAGTGTGAGTGTGAGTGTGAGTGCGTGTGAGTGTGAGTGTGAGTGTGAGTGTGAGTGTGAGTGTGAGTGTGAGTGTGAGTGTGAGTGTGTGTGTGAGAGTGTGTGTGTGCTAGTCAAGTGCTGGATTGAACGATTGTGTGGAGGGTGGGAAGGTGACGCAGGCACAGACAAGACAATGGGAGAAAGAGGAATCGAGCAGCGACACTCTTGCCACTACAACAATCACCACCAGCACCATCAGCTCACCTGTGCGCGGCTTGAGCGGGTGATATCCTGCGTATGCGCTCGTGTCCTCTGTGAGATCGGCACCAGCGGCGGCTGCGCCTCTATCGTCCTCGTCGTCAGCTGTCGGCGGTAGTGGTGCAATGTCTGGCAACAAACAACGAAGGAGAAACCGATGCCAATCTTCGCCTTGAGCACACGCAGACACACATGCACACATACGAAAATATTCACACACACACGTGTTTACACACATCGCGCGCACACAAGTGTTCGCACACGCACGCGACAATATATGCTGGTTCACCTTTGCTTTTCCGACTTCCGCGTCGCCGAATCCGCAGCGATTCACGCATGCGATGGAGCTGCCAAACAACAACATGAATTGCAAATATGAGCAAGGTGGTGCCATGGACCAAGCAAGACGGTTGTTGGGTGCTTGCAGGCACGGTTGAAGAGACAGCATTCACACACACGCACAACCCTCCCCCCAACACCCACCCCACACGCATATCGCCTCATACGCACCATGCCCTTCTTCTTGGTCGATGCACTGCCATCGGAATCTGGTCGAGATGTTGTTATACGCACGCAATGGGAGGGTCAAGATGTGAGACAACACAACAGACATTCAATTGTGACAGGCAATGCTGGCGCTCGACCATCGGTTCGGCATTGAAAGAAACGGTGCGCAGGTGCACATGCGGTGTTGTATGTACGAAATTGTGCTGCGTTCATCGTGTACGGGGATCACGTGAGAAGATATGGGCAGACAATCAAATCAAACATGCGGTATGGTCTGGCGGGACATCCAAAAGTACCTCGTTTGGCCTTGGTGGGCGTGGATGATTTGGAGAGGCGCTGTGAACAATAACAGAACAGCATGCACAGCACGTGTGATAAGTGATGGACGAGAGGAGAAGCAAAACTATTGGGAGAAATAACACGCACGCACGCAAAGACAGGGACACAGATACACACACAGAAAGGGACAAACACACTGACACAACACACACATATACAGGCACAAACACACACACACACACACAGAGACAAACGCACGCACGCACGGAGAAGGACACATCCACACAGCTCCTTCACCTTCATGAACTTTGGCGATTTCTTCGGCGACTTTGGCGGGGGCTGCCGTGGGCTGCGGGATGCCGGATATGACGTGGTGTCCTGACCAACAACCATCTGTTCAAGACCAGCCGAAATCGTGCACGCGAGCGAGTGTTTGCGCATGCGAGCGAGTGTTTGCAAGGGGGAGTGAGTGAGTCAGTGATTGTGTGTGTATGTGTGTGTGATTGAACAAACAGCAACAGGACGAACTCATGAGGCAACTCAAGTTGCGCACAATACGCCACTGCACACTCTCACTTATCGCACGTGAAGAGCACGTTTTCGTGAGCGTACGCACGCGCGCCACACATACCTCGTCTGTCTTGCTTGAGACGGCGGGGAAATCGTCGCCATAATCCCACGACATTGTGTATGTGTTGGTGACTGACGGCTGCGCAGATCCAGACACCGTGTCCTCTCTGCACAGCCGGCAAACACGTGTGAAACAAGCAAAGGGGTGGATGGGAGTGAGGGTGTGTGTGTGAACGCGCGCGCGGCGTGCGGGGGGGGGGGAATGGTTCCATTGTGGGCACATACTGTGCTATCAACTGTCTGTGTGCATGTGCACGTGGATGTCGATGTGGACGTGCATGTGTGTGCACATGTAACCCCAACAGGGAATGCTGCGTTGCGTATTGCACTCACGTGAGCGTCTTTAGCTCCTCCGACGATCCACCGCCCAACTGCATGAGAACAACGACGCCAATCGTCGAATCAAGAGTAAACGGGTATTGTGGGCATCAATACAAAGCGAAGCGGAGTGCGGCATGACGTAGCACCATGCTATACACACACACACACACACACACACACACACACACACACACACACACACACACCTGTTCGACGAGGGAGTGGACGTTCTGCCGCGTTGTTGGGATGTCAAAGTCGAAGCGCTTTTGTCTGTGGTTCAGTAACATGTGCGCGTCGCGACATGCCAACACGGTGAATAAGAGTCAAACACAAAAATGACTGCACACACACACACACACACACACACACACACACGTGCACACACACATACACACACACACACACACACACACACACACACACACACACACACACACGTACACACACACACACACACACACACACGTGCACACGGTGTTGATACTCAAAGAGGGGAGCCGACCTGCTGGTGGGCGTGTCCTTGGTTGGTGACATCCCGGTCGCTTGGTCCTGTTGTTGTTGATGTTGTTGTCGTTCAAGCGCCCGCGGGTGTGCGTCGTTTGAGTGCATGTGCAAAGCATGAGCGGCAGTACGTGAATGTGAGTGAGAATCAAGGGATTTGCATAGCGGTGCTTCTTTCAACTTCCCACGTTCTGGGACCACCCTTCTTTGTCCACACAGAGCACACACGCACGCACACACATACACACATGCCAATCCCACCTCGAAGAACTGCCGGTGCTCGTAGAATTGTTCGTAACGGAACGCTGGCGCCTTTGATGCCTTTGCATTTGCTTTTGATCCACGCCGTGATGGCCGTTCTAATGCGTGCGCGAATGGGTGTGGAGTGCGGGTGAAAACGCGAATACGCGTGTGCGCGTAAGCGTGTACATCAAGAAGTGAGTGTGTGTGTGTGTTTACGAATGAGAGAGCAGCTGTGCATGCGCACATGTATACGCGAATGTGTGTTTGCGCTGTGCACATATTTCGAGGGCGCTTGTGTGTGCATGCCTGCAGGCAAGCCTCGCACCACTCCAACAAAGCGAAGACTCACCGCTAGACGGCCGGCGTCTACCGTGTCGGCTTTCCCACTTCTCAATCAGGCGCTTGGACGTGCCCTCGCTGATCTGCACGGACCGCTGACTTCGCAGCTCTGCTGCAGTGTGGACAGCGCGACGACACGTGTGCCAGGCAGCAAGCGATGTTCATGTGTTGTGGAAGTGGAATACAGGCAAGTGTGGTGTTGTAGTGGAGTGAAGTGTGAGGTGAGGTGCAGCGGAATGTGGTATGGTGTAGTGACAGGTATGAATGATACAGCAGCTATGTTGCAGCAGTTCAATACGACAGGTGACAAGCACCCACCGGGCGGTTCGTCGATGTGGCGCGTGCGCCGACGAAGGCGATCAACAAACTTGCGCATGATGGGACGCCGCTCAGCCACGCGCTACAGGGGAACGTATGAACATGACGTATGAGCACGACGTGGTGACCATGACCAGCAATACTTGTGAGCGTGTGTGTGTGTGTGTGTGTGTGTGTGTGTGTGTGTGTGTGTGTGTGTGTGTGTGTGTGTGTATGTATGTGTGTGTCCAGGGGCAACATCACCGTGGTGCCATTGACACAACCAAGACGCGGCATGACAAAGCAGGTCGCCATGATGAATAAGAGGCGTCACTACAGAGTGCTTGCAGGCATTGCAGCACCTGTGCGTCCTCGACGAGGTGCGCCGCAACCGAGTGTGACGAATCACCGCGGCTGACAGCGATGCTGTTGCTTGATGCCGTGTGATCAGACGCCTACGCCATCGTTGTACAAGATGGTAGGACAGCGGAGGAGGAAGAGGAGGAGGAGGAGGAGGAGAGAGCGAAAGTGTGAGAGAGAGAGTGTGTGTGCGCGGTTGTTTTGTGTACGTTTGTGGTTGTGCGGTTGTTTTGTGTATGTTTATGGTTGTGTTGCGTGAGTGTGTTTGCGCGATTTTGTTGGTAGTATGGATGACGGCGAGCATTCGAATGTGTGACGGGTGCAAGTGTGCCTGTAGAATAAAGGCACCACTTCACAGATGTGCGCAGCGCACACTCATCACTTAAACAGCGTCGACACTTCTATCCCACTGCATATGGTCACCCACACGTGCATAGGATACAGCAAAGCAGGGCACTCGACCTCGTCTTGGGAGCGCCGTGATCCGCGGGACTGCAGCCGGCGCTCGTGCGGTTCTGGTGTGAGGGGAGAGAACAGCGGCACACGTGGAAGGAAAGCATGGGTGAGCACGCGCGGTAGGGAGGTGGTACATGGCAAACGACAAAGAGGCAGATAGAAAGAGAGAGAACAGTGGGGCATGAGCCAGACACGGAGAGGTGCACTCACAAGCCACAAACAGACAAGCGCGCAGCCACACACACACAGGTGGACAGACCAATACACAGCTGTAGCCAGACAGTGTATGTGCGTGTGTGTGTTGTGTGTTCAACCGCACCTTCCAGTTTGACGTTAATTTCTTTGCGTGAGCGCTTGCGCGTGAAGGAGTTGTTGTGCCGAAACTTTACCAGGTCTTGCTGCGCCGGCGGCGACTCTGGCGTCTCTGGTGGCGGACGGAAGCACGCACGTCGCAATGATAACGTGTGTGTGAGAAAAGTGACAGTGAGGGGCAAGAGGAAACCGAGTTCACGTCGTAGATGAGGATGTTGTGTATATGTGTGGGTGTGATTGTGATACTTGCTGATCAGACGCCTACGCCATCGTTGTACAAGATGGTAGGACAGCGGAGGAGGAAGAGGAGGAGGAGGAGGAGGAGAGAGCGAAAGTGTGAGAGAGAGAGTGTGTGTGCGCGGTTGTTTTGTGTACGTTTGTGGTTGTGCGGTTGTTTTGTGTATGTTTATGGTTGTGTTGCGTGAGTGTGTTTGCGCGATTTTGTTGGTAGTATGGATGACGGCGAGCATTCGAATGTGTGACGGGTGCAAGTGTGCCTGTAGAATAAAGGCACCACTTCACAGATGTGCGCAGCGCACACTCATCACTTAAACAGCGTCGACACTTCTATCCCACTGCATATGGTCACCCACACGTGCATAGGATACAGCAAAGCAGGGCACTCGACCTCGTCTTGGGAGCGCCGTGATCCGCGGGACTGCAGCCGGCGCTCGTGCGGTTCTGGTGTGAGGGGAGAGAACAGCGGCACACGTGGAAGGAAAGCATGGGTGAGCACGCGCGGTAGGGAGGTGGTACATGGCAAACGACAAAGAGGCAGATAGAAAGAGAGAGAACAGTGGGGCATGAGCCAGACACGGAGAGGTGCACTCACAAGCCACAAACAGACAAGCGCGCAGCCACACACACACAGGTGGACAGACCAATACACAGCTGTAGCCAGACAGTGTATGTGCGTGTGTGTGTTGTGTGTTCAACCGCACCTTCCAGTTTGACGTTAATTTCTTTGCGTGAGCGCTTGCGCGTGAAGGAGTTGTTGTGCCGAAACTTTACCAGGTCTTGCTGCGCCGGCGGCGACTCTGGCGTCTCTGGTGGCGGACGGAAGCACGCACGTCGCAATGATAACGTGTGTGTGAGAAAAGTGACAGTGAGGGGCAAGAGGAAACCGAGTTCACGTCGTAGATGAGGATGTTGTGTATATGTGTGGGTGTGATTGTGATACTTGCTGCGATGGTTGCCCGCAGAAGCAGCAGCAGCAACACATGTCACAAGCAGCAGTAGCAGCATCAGCAACACATGTCACAAGCAGCAGCAGGTGTTTATGCACTGATGCACTGACCGATGGGCAAGCCCTTTGCCCTGCAGATGCAGTTGTGAACCTTCTGCAGCCATTGCTTCTTCATCTCAGCTGTCAAGCCGGGTCAACGAGGCACGAGCACAGCATGCCGATGTGTGAGCGGCGTTGCGCATTTGCTTCAACAAGAGCAACAAGAACAGTGGCCCAGCTTGCTCGGTGTGTGTACACAACGTAATGCAGAGAAGAGGGGGGCTGTACCGGTGCGGCAGCGAAACACGAAGCTGTTGGCGACGACGACAGATGGAGGGCTGGCTGGGGCATTGAAGGAGAAGCTTTCGCGCTGCGAGCTCGCTTCCGACGACTGCTTTGTGTTCTCCTCGACCAGGAACTCCCGGTCATCGTCATAGAACACGCTCGTCACCGTACACTGCGGTAGTGGTGACAATGGTGGCAGCAGGCCGAGTGATGATTGTTGTCATGATGGTCGTGATGGCATGAACATGAGATGACGGCCAACGAATGGTGCAGCGTAAAACTGCTGGCCAAACTTGGCCTAGCAAGTGCTGGCACGCACCTCAAGCTTGCAAACACGTCAAGCTGGCACGCACTCCCTTCCCCCAGCCCTTCTTCTTTCAGAAGCAAACACCCATCTTATGCTATGTATCATGCTAATGTATGCGACCACCTCGACGGGTTACCTGATCCAGATCAAGCGGATCTGCAAGCAGGAGGTAGACGGTGTCTCCTCCCGCCGTCTGCTGCTGTTGCGTGATGACGAGGACGTCATTGCACAGCACCACAAACGCCTCAATCACAGTCTTGCGACGCGAGCCTGCGACAACAGCACAGAGACAACACGGAAGGCAGCAGTTGGATGTGAATGTGTGAGGGTGGGAGGAGCTGTGACTGGAAACCAAAGGTGCATGTAACAAACATCCTAAGCGGCAAAGGGCTGTGTCCTGCACAATTAGCACCAACTCCAACAGCACCAGCAAGACACATAACGACAGCGACAGGGCAAGGGTTGCCCCCCCCCCCTCCAAGTTGGTGGCTCTCACGCACCAATGCCCTTTGCAGAGCGCACGCTCTCGGCCATGGTGAATGTATCTGCAGCCACAAGCTGCCTTCCGTCGGCATCCAGCTGGAACTCCTGGATCTGTGCGGCAAGCAAAACAAATGTGGCATGCAGGTGCTGCGTTAGGGTGTGATGGGCGCGGCAGGCGACAGTGCGACATCACGAGGGGGAGCCACAAGCGGGCACATCACGCCTTTTTGCCAATGTTGCTTGCTTGCAGGCAAGCTTGGAAACAAGCACATTGGGCAGATGACCAGGCCTTGCTGCCTCGCAGCACAGCAGCAGGCCCCACCAGAGAGTCACCCACCCACACGCACACACGCACCTCTGAGCCATCGCGGTTGCGGAGCGCCGTTTGAATCGACGCAAGGGAAGACATGGCAGTGCTTGACGAGGGGGGGGGGGAGTTGTCCTGCCTCTGGCGTGCCGTGGCGAGTCACGTTCAAGAACAGAACGTTCAGCAGTCGCGAGGGAAAGAACAATCTCAACACAAGTTCCTCCTCTCTGCAATCAGTTTGTTCTTGCACTCCTTTCTCGGGGACCAGGAAGAGAGAGGAAGGCCGCTGAGGGATGGTAGTAGTTGGAGGCTGGATATGGATGGATGGATGGGGTGGGTGGTCGCTTGGCCGGTGGAGAGATCAAGCACTCAAGAAGAAGCAACAAGCAAGGCACAGCAACCGTTTGGTGCTTTGGTCTTTTTGGGTGGTGCTGTGGGTACGGCGGTTTTTGTGTGGTCAGGTTTTCTCCACTCGGAAGCGAATGACTGAATTCAGACTTTACAACTGAATTCAGTTGGCTCGGGTGGCTTAAACAAGACACAGCGAGAAGAGTGTGACAGCAGGACCGCTGTTCGCGCATGATGCTGCACTTGGTGTGCTGGAACGTGGCGGGATGGGCGACCACTGTTGACTGCATCAACAGGCGGTGAGTACACATGTGTTTGTGTGTGTTGTGTATACTGTGTGTGTTGTGTATACTGTGTGTGTTGTGTGTGTTGTGTGTGTTGTGTGTACTGTGTGTGTTGTGTGTGTCGTGTGTACTGTGTGTACTGTGTGTACTGTGTGTACTTTGTGTACTTTGTGTGTGTACTGTGTTGTGTGTACTGTGTGTACTGTGTGTACTGTGTGTACTGTGTGTACTGTGTGTGTGTACTGTGTTGTGTGTGTGCACAAGGTTTGAGTTTGAGTTTGAGACAGGGGAGAGGCGAGGGGAGTCAAGCGAGTGGCCACGCTTTGTGTGTGTGTGTGTTTTTTTTTGAAGCATATCCATTCACTCGCCACGTGCTCACCGTTTCTCGTTTCTCGGTTTGTTGCTATCATGTCACATCTGTCACCTTGGCCTTTCACAGGCATGGAGACGTTGCAACGTGGCTGGCAAAGAACAAGATTGACATCCTGTGTTTACAAGAGGTCAGTGCGTTCAGTGCCATCGACATCTGTCTCATTCATGAACGCCTCTGCGCGCGCGCGCGCGCGTGTGTGTGTTTTTTTTTTTTGCCACCTTGATGCAGTGCCATTTCCCATCTAAACCACACGGCACACTTGCTTCCTCTCCTTTCGTGTGTCAGGTGAAGGTGACGGCTTCAAGGCTTGCAGAGCAGCCCAAGCTTGCTGGCGTCACACCAGCACTTTGTGAGTGACTGTGTGTGTGTGTGTTTGCTTGTGTGTGAGTGACTGTGTGTGTGTGTGTGTGTTTGCTTGTGCTTTTGCAAGAGTGGCGATTGCGCCTGATGGCGTTAGCTGCGACGTGCCGTGTCGCGCTGTGCTGCGCTGCGACTTGCTTCGCTGCGTATTGCTGTGACGCACACTGCTAGTGAGTCGTTTGTGACGACGGTGCTCACTGGAGTGTTGGCCCTGACGTGCTGTGCAGTGGAAAAATACGATTGCTTCTTCTCGTGTTGCTCTGCTGGCACATCTCGTGGCTTCAACGGCGTTGCCACCTTTGCACGGAAAGGGCTCACAATCTCCGCCGACCCGCAGCCGTTTGCTGACCATGCTCTCGACTGCGAAGGTGCCGTCCATAAACCCCGCTTGTTTGCGCTGTGTGTATGCTTGTGCTGTGTGTTTTTTTGCGTGTGTTCGAATGTGAGTGTTTGAGCGTTTGTGTGTGTTTGTGAATGTGTATGTATGTATGTATGTATGTATGTATGTATGTATGTATGTATGTATGTATATATGTATGTATGTATGTATGTATGTATGTATGTATGTATGTATGTATGTATGTATGTATGTATGTATGTATGTATGTATGTATGTATGTATGTATGTATGTATGTATGTATGTATGTATGTATGTATGTATGTATGTATGTGTGTATGTGCATGTACGTATGTACATATGTGCATGTGTGTGTGTCTGTGTGTCTGTCTGTCTCTGTCTGTGTGTGTCTGTCTGTGTGTGTCTCTCTCTGTCTGTCCTGTGTGCGTTCTCGTTGCACGTGCAGTTGTGACCAGCACACGTGCCTCACCTTAACTTCACAATGGTGGGTGTCGTTTGCTTTCGTGACCAGGGCGCGCAATTGTCACCGTACACGACGGCTTTGCCATCTTGAATGTGTATGTGCCGAACGACGGTGCCGGCTCTCGCCGCCTCCCTTTCAAAGTTTGTGCGCACATGCATGCAACAGGAGGGAGGGGAAGAGACAGTGCATGTCAGAAATGTGCGTGTTGAATGTGTGAATGTGTGAATGTGTGAATGTGTGAATGTGTGAATGTGTGAATGTGTGAATGTGTGAATGTGTGAATGTGTGAATGTGTGAATGTGAATGTGTGTATCAACTGTGTGTGTGTGTGTGTGTGCGCGCGCGTGCGCGCATGTGTGTGTCGACTGTGTGAAAATGTGCGCGCGCGTCAACTGTTGACACAACGAACAGCCGCACGTTCGGTACTGCGCCGCTTATTCTTGGCTGTGTGTTGCGTCATGGCTGCATGGGCAGATGCGGTTCTTGCGAGCCATGGAGGATTGCATGCAGCGATTGCGCAATCGTGGCTTTAAAGTCCTGGCCGTTGGCGACTTTAACATCGGACGAAGGCCAGAGGTGTGTGTGTGTGTGTGTGTGTGCGTGTGTGTGTGCGTGTGTGTGTGTGCGTGTGTGTGTGTGCGTGTGTGTGTGCAGCTGTGCCATGGCTGTAGCGCGTGTTTTGCGTGCAGTGATGTGTCGCGTATGACCTATTGCTTAGTGTTTCAACACACACACACACACACACACACACACACACACGCACGCATGCGCACAATGCGCTCACGCACGCATGCACACAATGCTGCGCGCTCATCATCACTCTCAATCGCCTTAAACTCCCATCAGGACATTTCGTGGGATCACCGCATTCTGAATGTGTCATCATTCATGCGGATGGAACTTCCAGAGGCCGACGCCTCCCGTGACGAGCGCTTTCTCTCCTCCCTCTTCTCCGCGCCTTGCTGCAGCCACTGCGGCTGGCACGGCTGCTTGTACGTGGTTGTGTGTTTGTGCGAGTCGTATGAGTGCATAAGATGTGTATGAGGTGTGTATCAGGTGTGTGCGAGCTATTGTCTCGTGTGCCTCGTGTGCCTCGTGTGCCTCGTGTGCCTCGTGTATCGACGTGTCTTATCGTCAACACATGTGTGCGTGTGCGTGTGCGTGTGCGGAGCAAGAGTCG